ATATATATATATATTAAGGATTTTATGAGGTATCCCCCAAAAAGGAACTACAATGGAGACTACAGGTACTATATGGGGCCCTAGGGGCTCTAGTACCCTATGTAGTAGGTAGCTGGGGGGTTAGGGAAAGGCACCGCAAGCAGCAACCGACGAGATGACGTTGCGGTTGTGGAACAACAAGTCTCCAGTGCCACAGGAAATCCACTTGAAACATGACTGGGTGGCGATGCATGGCAACTGGACACAGCTACAGTGGTGAGGGGGGGAGACCGCTTCCTAGGCACAATCTCCCCGAAACCCCAGAACAGATCCCCCTGGGCCCTTGGTATAGATCCCTTACCAATTATAAACTCCTTCAGTGAACCCTTAACGGGACAGCTATTCAATCGTTAATAAATTCAAAACCTCTGCGTAGGGCTTCGGGATTCCGAGACAGGGATATCGGGGTTTAGGGTGTAGGGTTTAGGGGTTGTCGTGTTCGGGGGTGCAGAGGTTAGGGGGTTTAGGGTTCATAGGGGTTTCCAGAGTTATCCCAGGCCCAGATGGTGATCAAAGTCCAGACCCTCACCTACAGGCGCCGGGGCATGCCGTCGACGACGTTTGTTTTTAGGGGGTTCGACAAGGGTTTAATTAGGGTTTAGGGTTTAGGCTTTAGCAGATATTCGTCAGCTGAGGATGTTTGGATGAATTAGTTGAGAGCTTCATGTTTCGACCGTGCTTTTTGGTTCTGTTGCGCAGCCAACGGAGCCTGCATCGCTGGCTTTTAGTATAAGTTATTGACGATTCGATCTGAAGGTAGAGCTTGTAACACATCGAAGCTGCCTAGTGATGCAGCAGATAGATGCACAGCTTGGGGAAGATGCCTTGATGGACATGCATACATAGGGCTATTGACACGGACCCTGGGGCAGATAATATAGGCTTAGGGGCCTTAACAATTAGAATAGGGTTTGGTGTCATAGTGTTCTATAATTTTTAATAAGGAGCCCCCAAAACCCTATTCTAATTATTAAGGCCCCAACATTATATCAGCGACGGCTTTTACTTGTGTCAATACTATGCTTTTTTGAAACGAGATAGCTCCTTGCGCTATTTTTTGGTCCGAGCTCGCTCTAAGAGAGGAACGAGATAGGGGCACCGCTTCAAACGAGATCAGGCTCATTTATGATCAGAGCTGCTACTAACGATACTTGAACGAGATCCAGTTTTCCTGCCAGTCCTTAATATGATGAAACGAGATAAGGGCACCGTTTCGAGATACCGCAAGTAGCCTAAGCCTTAAATAAACGCAGCGTATGGACAGCTAGGCAAGCCCAGGGACATCCCAGCAGCCCAGTTCCCTATGTCCTATTTAATGCAGCGGGGTACTGTCCCTTGAACCCCGTAGAAACCTTATACGCTGCATGGCCTAAAACCTCGGCCCTATATAGACCGTAAGCCTTTTACACTGACCTTCCGTGTTTGTCATTGGGCTTCCGGGGCATGTCGAAGATATGCTTGATGTGTGCATGCAGGTCGCAGGAATGCCTCTGGGGACATGTTGAACCACGCTCACTTTATCTGTCCGTGCGTAAATGCAGGCATATTTGTAAAATGTTTGATTGTTCTTGATTTATCTTATTCTGGTTTTACTTATTGTTACAAGTGTTATTATTCTTCTGGTTTGTTTCATTTGTTTGTATTGCATAAATGATTTGGAATATTGGCATGTTTAGTTAATTCGACCTATTGTTAGTACTATCACTTTTACGGGTGCTTTTTATTACTGCTACCAGTAGTCTTAAAATATTTTTTATGTGTCATATTTCATAGACATGTGTACACATGTGCATATGTTAATGTGTGTATTCACTTACAGCAAATCGGTTGTACATAGACGCACACTGCGGCCTTTGTTCTTTCAGTCTATGCACATATATATATATACATATGTATATATATATATATATACATATGCACGAGTCGTGCGGCAACTCATATTATTGGGGCTACGTCTCAAGTCCCAAATTGATGAGGCTTCCAGGGACCACCGGACGATCGCCCCATTACATTGGAACCCCAACGAAAGCATGTACATATAATGATTGTAGGGTTGGGATATGACGAGGCGCAGATGACTCCAGAGAGCCTTACTTTTCGAGATTCTTGTGCTCACGCGTGTACTTCATGCAAGCACCTCCGTCGCAACGATGTCTTTCTAGGTGCGACGGATGCCAGCTCATTCGGGCACTAGTGGCGGTACAAGAAGCTTCTTAACAGATCTTCGCACATAAAGGAAAGTTTGCATTTTAGAGCTCGCAAGATCAACCAAAACATTGAGCCAGGCAGATATTTGGGCAGTCTCACAATCCTCCTTGGTTCTAAGTTTGTGAGTCAATCCGTTTGGGCAGGTCCTTGATGGAGAGATACAACGTGACGGGCCCAGGTTGTGTCTTTATCATCACGGCTCCACGGCCCAGTGAATCCGACTCGGGTTTAGGGTTGAGGGTTCACTACAGTGGGTTTTTGGTTTAGGGTTTTGGGTTCTGGGTAGCCATATACAGGGTCCGAGGTTGACCATACCATAATACTATACCCCCATCAAAGTCCATGTACCCGCATGGCAGATATATGTTGCCTTAAAGTGGAAATGCAGGAAGCATGCGATCATTGCGGTAAACCTGGGCCCCGCAACCGTGGATTTCGTCTTGGAGTACCGAAGACTACGGACCAAAAGGGCCATAAGGGCTAGGTGGAGTGCTGGTACTATGAGACCTTGTACAAGCAGCCTTCAATTGAAATGTACTGGCCTAGTTGCTTCGGTATGCATCCCCTAGAGCACACGTGTCTGAAATTGTATAATATATGTAAATATATATATATATATATACATATATATAAACGTGTGTATATATACATACACATATAGATATATACATATGTATACATACACATGTATACATATGTATACATATATATATATATATATACACGCACATGGTTATTGTGTTTGGTTTATTGATACGCTTTGGCGCTCGCTCGGAGTACATGGACGGACCCTCACGGTCTACGAGCCGCAATGTCATGGGATCCGGAGCTTGCGGATCTGACTTCATCGATTCAATCCCAGGGGTTTAGGGGCTTTGGGTCTAAGCGGTTTCAAGCTTGGCAGGTGCTCAACCTTAAGCCACCAATAAACCCTAAACCGACATGATGCACTTGACTCTACTCCCAAAGCCTGACCCTTGAATGTTTCTAAACACCCGACCTCTGAATCCTAAGCCCTAAACCGCAAACCTCCAACCGTCGACATTATGCGTGTAAGTATGTACATATATATATATATATATACAGGTATATGTATATCCATGCGCGAGATCAGACACTAAACCAAATAATAGTCGAACCGCCAAACGATACATAAACCCCAAACCTTAATGAACATGTCTTCGATGTTATCTACAACAGGAAGTGCGGAAGCTGGAACCTGACATAATCATCATTTGCGCTCGTGGCTCACCGCAAAAGCACGACCCGCTGCACACCAAGACCTCCGCGATAAGCTTGGGGCGCTCTCTTGCTTGGCCTGCTTCTCGAGGCCTGGATGGCTCGGAGGTAACCATCATGAAAAGCAGCAGAAGCTCGTTTCCAGAACGCATGCGGTCCTCACAAGTCTGCATTCCAATCAAAGCCCCACGGCCGAAACCCTCAACCCAAAAGTAAGCCCAACCACCGACACTGAGCCCTAACCCTAAGCCTGCAAGTCTGCAAGCACCGACCACCAAAGAATCCAACAAGAGTCCTTATAGAAATCATCTAAACCCTTAATACCCAAAAGCAAAACAACCTTTTGCTTAGGTCACGAGCCTCCGATTGTTGAAGATCGACACCGAGGGCTTGGACGCATTGATTTTGAGACAGGCACTGGGAGAGGGTTTAGTACAAGGCGTATTTCTGCGGAGTTAACAAGATCTTTTAAATGCGCGTTTATAAGTTGCGTATAAGGGTTTCTAGGGTTTTGATCAGAGTCTCGGAGTTAATCAGGTTTAGGGAGGGTTTCTTTTGTGGTTTAAGATGGCTTTCACGGGATTGTAGGCCTTTCTTGGTGTTGCAAGGTTTCATGCGGGATCTAAAGGGTCATGCAAAACGCTTTTATGGGTTCCCATGGCCTCGGACAGAAGATACGTGCGGGATTGTGTTGAGGCCTCCAGCGCGTTAGACTTTAGGGCTTTGCGGCGTGGGGCTTAAGGGCTTTAGGGTTTGATTTCTAGGTCTATCAGTGGGCCCTTTTTCCCTGTTTAAAGTCGTAGGGTCCCTTATAAAGGTTCCCAATACCAAAAAGGGAGGCCTTTTTATCCTAGGTTACTGGGCATTCTAGTCCTCCAGGATCCAATACCGTTAACCTGAAGTCCCTTCTACGCTGATCCCTAACTCTTAACCCCAAGCCCAGCCCTAAACCAAGAGCCCAAAACATATAGGCCCTAGACTCTAAGCCCCAAAGCCCTAAACCCTAAACCACAAACATGTACGAATTCAAAGCCCTAAACCATAACCATAAACCCTAAGCCATAAGATTTAAAAACAGCAACACATCATACCTCCTATAGGCTCTAGGCCCAAAGCCCTCAACCATAAACCCGAAGCTTTCCCAAAACCATAAAGGCCCAACCCGGTAAACCCTGAACCCCTAAACCCTAAACCCCTATTCTGAGAAACTGTATGGCGTCTGACAGCTTGAAAACCCCAAACTCCAACGTTTCCCCACGCACATTAACCCGAAACCGTACACCCAGGGACTGCGGAGGATCAATACCGGGATGCTCGCTAAGTTATTCAATATGTTGGGAACAAGGATGTCGATGTTGTAACTTTCTGACCCCTGTTACAAGCCCGAAACTCTCAAGCCTATTCTATTCCAAGCCGCTTGGAAACCCTATACAATCCCCTAAACCCTAAACCCTAAACTCTAAACCCAAAGCCTTGCAGCGCTAAAACCCTGAACCTTAAACCCTACACCCTAAAAAACTAAACCCTGAACCCTAAGCCCTAATTAGGGTTTAGGGTTTAAGGTTTAGGGTTAGGGTGGCCCTTAAGCCCTTAAAACCTAAACTGAATATAGGGGGCCTTAATAATTACCATTTTCATTTTGGGGGGTTCCTTATTGTAAGTATAGTATATTGGGCCCCAAAGCCCTATTCTAATTATGAAGGCCCCTACATCAGGCCCTAAGCCTAAATAGGGTTGGGGTTTAGGACAACCCATCTGCTCAGATGCTGCGCTACGGAGAAGAGGTCGGATTTTTCCCGGACCGGGTCGGTGCTCTCAGCATTCATCAGTGATGTTTCTAAAGTCCGTTTATGTATCTAGGTTAGCGTTTAGGGTTTAGGTTTAGGACCTGTTCTTTCAGGGTTTAGGGTTTAGGGTATGACGAGGACTGCATTTGTTAGGGCTTCGGGTTTCTAGTTTGAGTTTGCGGTTTGATGTAGGCTGATAGGGTTTAGGGTTTCTGTTGATTGCAGATGACCGCAGGCGCTCAACGAAGGACCCAAGCCATTGAAACAGCTTGGTTAATCTAGGTATCCGGAATCACCGGAATCAAGCTCGTCTACTATGGGGTTGAACCTAGTCCTGAACCAACAAAACCTGCCAGGGTTTGGGCTTTTGAAGTTGTGTAGGCTTTAGGGTTTTAGGGTTTAGGGTTTAGGGCCTGAGGAATGTTGGGTTTAGGGTCGGGTTGAGGGTGTGGGGGCTTTTGGCATTTTGTGGGGTTTGGGGTTGGAGCAAGTTCTGCTCCCATAGCCCTGCAGTCGTGCCCTGCCACGCTTGGGCAGCGAGTACTGATCCGATACATGCTGTAGGTCACAGCACTTCAGGTTCCTAACCCCTACCTGGGACCCTAATTACCAGCAGATGTATGGGTTCTACCTGCTAAGTAAGGGGTAATGGCTGCAAAACTGTAGGTAAACAGAGTTACAGGTAAACCCTTAACCGAATTTCGGAGTCTGGAATGAATTTCCCGAACGCCCTTAGACCCTAAACCCTAAACCCTAAACCCTAACTGAAAGCGTTTGGGGGTTTCCGACTTTACAAAGTCTGGAAGATTCTGGAGGCTTCTGAGGCCGCAGTCGCGGTCAGCACTGTTCATGGCGCCAGGAGATGAAGAGAACCCCCCGATTTTGTCAGATGCCTGAAAAGAGCAAACCCTGTAAATATCCGGAGAAACAAGGACTCCGCAGCCCTCGACTTTAGCATAGAAGTCTGAACATCTGAGAAAAATATCCCCATGTCGTTCCACTGGGACTATGCACAACCCGGCCTTGAAGAACAGTGCTTAACAAAGAAGTCTAAACCCATTAACATTTTCAATGGGAGCCCTGAAACAATACCTCAAGAAGCCGGAATCCGCAGAACCTTTAAGGAACCCTTACGCCCTCAACCCTAAACCCTAAACCCCTAAACCCAAACCCTAAACCCGTACAGAGAGTCCCAAAGGTTCAGTTTGAGCGCAACAACCTCACCGACTTCTCGGGGTCTCAGCAGACCTTTGATGCCCTGCAGGCCCCTGTTTAAGGTTTGGGTTGAAAGTTGCTGGGTTGGGGGTTTGGGGTTTAGGATTTGGGGTTTAGGGCTTTTGGTTTCAGATTTTGGGATTGTTGTTTAAGATTCTCGGTATAGGGTTCAGGGTCTCATATTTTGGGTCTTTAGTTCAAAACAGGATGTTTCTAGATTGCTACTGGGTTTTCATGGTTTGTGGATAGGTTTGTATATGGGGTTTACCTGGAGTGGCTCCGGTTTACGGCGTACGCTTTCTCCGATTTAAGGACCAGTTGTATACATGTACGTACATGGGTTATATATATATATATATGTATAGACATACATGTAACATGTACATCTATGTATATCTCTGGGCACAGGGTTTTCTTGAACCCTCCGCTTTGGGGGTCCTTGGAACCCAAGCTCCTTGTCTCAGAAACCAGCGTACCTTCACATTCAATGTCTGCACGAGATTGGGTTTCGGGGTTCAGGGGGGTTCCCCTAAACCCTATACCCCGAACCCCAACCGTGTGGTTGGGTTTAGGGTTAAGGTGACTTCGAAGCCTAAACTGTCAACCCTAAGCCCGAAACTCCCGGTTAGCATTTGGGTAGTTCTCTAAATTAGGGCTCCTTTGGAATCCCCAATATAGTACGGCACCCTTATAGAAAGGACCCTAAAAGGGACCCTAATTTAGAGAACTACCCATTTGCTGCATCACAGGGTTGTCAAGTACCGGTGTGGTCCACCCGACGGAGGGGCTAAGGTTCAAGATGGGGGCCTATGCTATTTAGGGTTTAGGGTTTAGGGTTTAGGGTTTAGGGTTTAGGGTTTTGGGTTTTGGGTTTTGGGTAGGGCTCTCATCCCTGAAAACCCTCAAACCCTAAAGCCGAAAGTCAATCTTGGTGGAGTATGAAGACACGCCATCGTCGCACAACTCTGGCTTGCAAGAGTGGCCAAGGGCTCAATGGTGCAAGGGATACAGGGGCCTAAGTAATTCCCTATACTATTTTTTTGTTGGAGGGGGGGCCCTTATCATAGTTATAGTAGAACCCCCAGACCCTATTCTAATGGTTAAGGCCCTATAGTACATGTCTAAGCGGAGCATCCAAGAGCAAAGTGGCCGGTGCAAAGCCGCAGCCAACGAAGTGAGTCATCTGTGAGCATCTGCCAAGGTGTTGAGAAGGGTTTAGGTTTGAGGGTTTAAGTTGCATTAAAGAAAAGCAGATGACCCACTATGCATTTTGCCCAGGTCCCGAACAAGAACCCTTGTAAGACATTGTGTATGAAAGCAAGTCTTGTTGCTATGTTCGAGCTGGGATCATGCGCCTACATTGGCCTGCATCGCTGGAGCGTGGTCTCTGGACCCAGAAATGAACCCGTAAGCATTAAACTAAACCCTAAACCCTAAACCCTAAAAACCCTAAACCTAGAAGTGAACCCCTAAGCCTTCAATTGTCTTAAGCCCCAGGCTGCGACTCAAAAGCCAAACCTCTGGTCCGGCCTGGACCCAAAGCCCTGACCGCTAAACCGTAAACCCTAACCCTCAACCCTCAAAGCTAAACCCTAAACCCCTAACCCTAAAGCCCTAAACCCTAAACCCTTGAACCTTGAACCCTAAACCCTAAACCCTAAACCGACACTCTCAACCATGGAGCCGCGAACCCTAAACTCTGAAGCACAAAACATCCTTCATTGATGCACATCATATGGGTCGCTTTCTCAATCAGGGTCCCTTTCAGGATCCTTTTTTAGAAGTTTTTGGGGAACTATACCCACATGACCCCGATTGGCCCACAACCACTCTCAGCTCCCACCCCACGACATGACATGGAGTGGTACTTAACCCTAGGAAAGGATACCGGGATACCTTAAAACCCCCCGAAGATGCGAGCCCAAAAAGATCCTTTTGAAACCCTTGAAGGAGCCCTAAACCCCCAACCCTAAACCCCTAAACCCCTAAACCCTACGCCCTAAACCCTGAACCCCTAAACCCTAAATTCTAAACGTGTATGGTGTAGGGTTGAGGGTTTAGGGTTTTAAGTTTAGGGTTTTGAGTTTAAGGTTTCGAGTTTAGGGTTTAGGGTTTGGAGTTTATAGGGTTCAGAGATTAGGGTTTGGAGTTCAGGGTTTAGGGTTTAGAGTTCAAACCAAAAAGGCAGGCTTCTGAAGCCTCCTTTCCCTCCTCTGGAAAGCAGCCCAGCCATTCTGCAGTGTCAAAACCTTCATGAGTCGATTCGCGCTTCGCCCATTCTTCGTCCTTCCTCCTTCAACCCTATACCCTCAAACCTCAACCCTTAACCCAAAGCCCTAAACCCTAAACCCCTCCTCCCTCCTCCCTCCTGCCTCCTCTCTTCCTCCGTTTCGAGAGTCGCTGGGGATCAAAGCTCGTCAGGCAGGGACGAAACGGTTTCGAGACTTGGCGCCAGGGGGGTGGGCAGGGATCGAAGTAATGAACGGGCCTTCACAATTAGAACAGGGTTTTGGGGCCCATAATACGATGTTTATACTAAGGAACCCACCAAAATGATATTGGTAGTGATTTAGGCCCAAAACCCTAAACCCTAAACCCTAAACCCCAAACCCTAAACCCTAAACCCTAAGCAGCACGGAGACCTCTGATTGCAGAGGCGGCCTTTGACTGCTGGATCCCACCAGCGGAGGATCTCACGCCTGCCGGGTTCAAGGGAGCGTTGAAGGTTCGGGGTACCCAGAGGGTCCATATATACTACTATTATGGAATTAGGTCCCCAAAACCATAATAGGGATTGTTTTTTGGGACCTAATTCCATAATGGTAGTGTATATGGACCCTCTGGGGTATCTGGGTTTAGGCTAAACCTAAACCCTAAAGAAGCTACCTTTTTCGGGTTCCTTATTATGATTTCTTTATATATGTCCTTAAAAAGGTCGGTTATTTGGGGTATCTGGGTTTAGACTAAACCTAAACCCTAAAGATACCTTTTTAAGTTTCCTTGTTCGGACTTTTATATATATATATATATATATATTCCTCAAAATGGTCGGTTATTTGGGGTGAAGAAAGGGCCTGGGGTTCAGGGTATAAGAGTTTGGGGCAGAAGGTTCAGGGTTTGGGGTTCAGGGTCTAGGGTATGCGGGTTCAGAGTAAACAGGGTTCAGGCTTGGGCTTGGGTGTTCAGGGGTTAGGGTTGCTGCGCAGCTGCAGGCCACGGTTCGAGCAGAAGAAGCAGCGAGTCAACTAATTGCGGAGGCTCGTGCCGAACGTGGCGCTGAGCCATCTGCTCTCCGCGCGATTCGGCTGCGATCACTGCATGCAGCGTCCTGAACTCCGCGAGTCAACTTTCCAGGGAGGGAGTTGCTGCACACAGAGACATGGACTGTTGCGGAAAGTACAACTGCAATGAGGCCTCGTGCACAAGTGGCTTCAGACAGAGCTGTGCCTCATGCACCATCACACATCGCAGAATGCGATTGTGTTGTCCGCCCCTCTTTGGTTTGGGCACAAGACGCTGAGAGTTCACGGTATAAGGGTTTAGGGCTTGAGGTTCAGGGTTCAGGCCTGACCACAGTCGTCATGGAAGGGGATGAAGGGGGCGGATCTAGGGTGGAGAGGATACTTCGACTAACTTAGACCCTTGAAATGTGGCATCTGCTCGATGGCACGGTTTTTCCCAATGGCCTTGGCCAGAAAACAGGTTATGTGTTTCAGACATATTACAATTCAGGGCGTACATAGATGCCATATGAGGGTTTGTGGTGTTGGGGTTCAAGGGAGACAGGGTTCTGGTCTGGGTTCTGGCCCACCGGAATAAAGAGTCTTTGGGAATGCCGGGTGCTGTTGGACCTATGAGCCTGTGTCACAGATCCTTTTGCCTCTGTCGTTTGGGCCTGCGAGCATGTAGGATGTAGGGTTTGGGGGTTTCGGGTTTAGGGTTTGGGGGTTGAGGATTTAGAGTGTTTTTTTGGTGTTGAGGGTTTAGGGAGCAGCTCAAACACTGCTGCTTTTCGAGTAGGGAATGGATCCCTATGACTGATAGTCCCGGAGGGTCGCTTATAAGTATAGTAGTCCCTACCTATAGTCTCCATTGTAGCTCCTTTTTTTGTTTAACCGTTTTTACATTGAGGGTCCTATGAGGTAACGCCAAAAAGGAACTACAACGGAGACTATAGGTATAACCCATTCCTTCACTCCCATTTTAAAAAACTGGGCAGAGCAGGCTAGCCAAGGCCCCATGGTCGTTCAAGCAGATCCAAGTAGCATGCTGAACAAAATGTGGCATCGCCGACACACAGACACCCACAGCACAGATGTTCAAACCTTCAGATCCTAAATCTCGAGCTTTGAACTGAAAACCCTGAACTCTAAACCCCCTGAGTGAAAATCGTAAGCCTCGAGCCCCACAAATCCTACACTTGACACCTACCTAGACCCCCAAACTACCCTCTAATATACCCGATATTACCCACAATTCAGGACCCTAAACCCTAAACTTTTTCATAAAAGGCCCTCTAAAAACCCTAAACCCTAAAAACCCGGAATTAGCCACAATTCAGGACCATGAGGGCTCTCCTAAAGGGCCCCTTCCAGGGTCCTGGGAGATCCTGGACCTGGCTTCGACCTGAACCCACAGGGTCCCACAAACCGTCTGGGCTAATATAGATGCCTAAATGGGTAGTTCTCTAAATTAGGGTCCGTTTGTAGGTCCCCAATATAGTACGCCTTACAAAAATGACCCCAAAAGGGACCCTAATCTAGAGAACTACCTAAATGATTACCAATATTATTCCTTATGCGTCCTTCTTTTAAGTATACTATGAAGCGGCCAAAAAACCCTATTCTAATTGTGTCGGCCCCTACGTTAGGATGACGTGCACTGCCTTCGGCTGGTCGACATTGCGCCAACTCGGCCGACGACGGCGAGTGGCGGCGTCTGGGGCTGAGGTATGTTGAGACTCCTCAGAAACCTCTTGTCCAAAATCCTCTAAACGACATCCAGGGTAATGGAGGAAGCTTAGTATTGATACGGGGCCTACCAAGACTTAGACAGACTCGGCGTTCCGGGTTCGACTTGAGCGATTCCATATGTCTGCAAGGATCGTTGGTCGGAGGCTGACAGCAGACAGTTGGGCAGTGCAGCGCTGGGTGACGCTAAGCCCCCAATGCGGGGCCTGAGCAGTTGATAGTGTCATTCCATGGATTTCCTGAATGCCTTAATGCCATGATAACTTGATGGGTGGTTCTCTAAATTAGGGTCCCCTTTTAAGAGGGTGCCGTACTATATTGCGATACCCTAATTTGGAGAACTACACCCCTCGAAGCCGTGCTCCGATTCTTTAGGCTCCTATAGATTCGACCACACTCGGTCCCAAAGCCTTTCCAGCCAAGCCATAACATAACCGTGGCATAGCCTTTGCCCTAGTGGGTGCAAGTTTGCATTTGCGGCTGTTTTTGGGACTTCCGGAATCGTGGCCTAACAGACATTCGTCGTCTGTGCAGCTAGAGAGTTTGAGCCTTCTTGTCCTAGACACAAAGCTGAAACTCCCCAAAACTCCGGACTCCCAACCAGGGATACTTGGAGGATCATGGGACTTAGTAAGTAAGGTTATAAGTACCCTAATTGCCCTAATTGGGGTTATAAGTCATTACAAGTCTAGCTACCTTATTTATAACCCTAGCTACTATGTCCGATGAACCTCTAGGTAGGCTTTTGAAACGTAAGATACCTTGGTGATGTACTCTAAGCCCGGCAACGGGGGATGTTGTTGGAATTGGCTGAGGAAGTGGATCCGCCTTGGGTCCGTGCACACCCGACCGGTTTTGCATGCAAATTGTGGTGGCGGGGTGCCTTTTGGTTTTGACAGTAGTGCCTTTAGCAGGGATTTTTAAGACCACTCTTGATGTGAATCCTGATATTACATAGGCCTTTCATTAGACCTTAAAGCCTCAGGGCTAGGACTTAGAGCTAGGGCAAGCCCATTGCTCCAGGGTATTATATCGATCGTTTGAAGGGAAGGGCTTTGGGTTAAGGGTTTACGTAGGGGTAAACACTCAAATCCTTAAGCACTGCAGCCCCAAAGGCCCAACCCCTTAACAAACCCCATGGGGTAGTCAAACAGCAACCCTCTCTAACGGACCCTTTACCTACCTTCTCTGGCGAAAACCCTTCCAGCACAACCTTAGTGGAGCCCTTGCAAGTCGAATCCTTCTGGGTTTAGGGTTTAGTCTAGGACATGTTCAGGTGGGTAGTTCTTGTTAATAGGAGCCTTATAGAAGGTCTATATACCTTGTGGAAGCCTTCTAGAAGCCCTATATACTCGAAACTCCCCACCTGTAGTTTCCTCTAACCCTAAACCCTAAACCCCTAAACCCTAATCCCTAAACCCCCCTAAAAACCCTAAACTCCCCACCTGTAGCTTCCTTTAAATTAGGGTTTGGGAGCCTCTAAGAGCAGACATTGCTGTCAAAGCCTTTTTGGAGGAGCCCTTTAAAGCAGAACCCTTCTGGAGCCCTTTTCAGTTCAGGAACTTTTGGTTTAGGGTTTAGGGTTTAGGGTTTAGGGTTTAGGGTTTCTGGACTTTCAGTTCAGGAACCCCAAACCTTAAACCCGAAAGCCGCTTAGTAGCCTGAATTCCGAAACCCCAGAAGCCTTAAACCTTGCTGCAGGGGCCTTAATGATTAACAAACATTATTTTGGTGGTTCCTGATTGTAATAATTATACTGTAGTATATCGCACCACCCTCTTACATGTATTAAGGCCCCTACGTTACACCCTCCCAGAACCCCAAAACCGTAAAGTCAGAGTCCGTGAGCTCCTCTTTTGCAGTTTAGTATAGGGGCCTTAAGAATTACCTCTACTCTTGTGGGGGCTCCTTATTATAACTATGGTATACTGGGCCCCAAGACCCTCTTCTAACTATTAAGGCCCCTAAACCCCAAACCCTTATAGCAGCCCTTGTAAAACCCTTTAAGGAACCCTTAAAAGGAACCCCAAAACCCTACTCTAATTATCAAGGCCCCTAAACCCTAAACCCTTATAGCAGCCCTTATAGAACCCCTTATAGAACTTATAAAACCCTTTAAAGACCTCTTTCAAGGAACCCTATTCTAATTCTTAAAGCCCCTACATCATGGCAGGTGGAGCTTCCCGACCGTCTCCCTGTGGCAGCGGCCACCCTGCCGCAGGTTGCGACAGGGGGTTACTTGTTTCTTTTAAGGGGTTTAGGGGATCGTTAAGAGTTCCTACGAGGGTTTAAGGATCACGCTTTAAGAGTTCCTACGGGGGTTTAAGGGTTACTGGGTTTCTCTCTAAGGGTTTCTATGAGGGTTTTAAGGATTACTTTTTAAGGGTTTCTACGAGGGTTCTATGAATAAGCAGTCCTTCTAGGACAGAGTGGCTTGAACAACGGCTAAACTAATATGAGTCTTTCGGCTAGCTTCCTTGGTCAAACTACTCTTTACTGTAGCCCCGCAGCCCTATCCTGATCCTATACCCCAAACCCTAAACCCTAAACCTTGTTCCTGGATTGATATCAGTATCCGTAGAAGTTTACCGGGTTTTAGGGCTCTTAGGGCTCTATTGGGGTCTTGGGAGCCTTTATGGGGGTTGTGGCGATGGTAGGATCATTGACGGCATGAGCATCAGCATCAGTGCCGTCAGATTTGTTCGTCATCATCATGACATCACCACGACGATACTCATGTTAGCTATTACCACAGCCGGCAGCGCTTGGTCCAAGATCGTGTGTTGTTTCACTAGTTTTTTCTGTCAGTCTTTGTTAGCTCGTTGGTGCTGCGGCGGCTGCTCCTCTTCACCGCCCTTTCCCGCGCTCGTGTTTCCTCTTGTCTATTTTGTATTTCCTAAACCCCTGTAACTGCCGGAAACCCAAGACTCTAAACCCTGTAAAGCCCTAAACCCCTAAACCCTAAGCCCTAACCTTAAACCCCTAAACCCTCAGCCCTACACCCTAAGTAGCAACCATGACGAAAACCCTAAGCCCCAACCTAGGTCCGTCTTCCGAGCGGCTTCGTTGCCCCTTTGCACGCTTCCGTGGCGTCCCCAGGGATATGCTCCCTAGAATGGTCCTAGGATGTCCTAGGTTGTGGGTTTGGGGTTTAGGGCTGGATCAAGACGACATGGCATCGCCCTCTGTACCATAGAACCCTTATGATGGGCCGTCATAAGCCGTTGAAAGGCCCCCTTTAGACCCTTGTTCCAATCATGGAGGCTTCCATACATATATATATATATATATATATATATTATATATATATATATACAGTATATGTCTATATATCTGTTATGCTACTTACGCGGTTTCGAAATCTTCCTACCGCTCCCCGAAACCCTGAACTCCGACTGAACTCCTAAACCCGAAACCCATATATATATATACATACTATATATATACATACTATATATATATATAATATTATATATATATATATATACATACCCCTACAGACTCCCAGACCCGCAGCCCTCGAGCCTGGATCCGCGAGAGCCGTGTTTTGGCATCCCAGAAGTCATCGGAATCGTGGGGGCCCAATGGATCCTAAGTACCTAAATGGGGAATACGTAGCCAAACCATAATAGAGGTGCTTACTTCAGAAGCCCCAGTTTCGACTATATATAGGTACTTAGGAAACTACGGGGAGTCCAGCGCAGACACGAATGACCCTGAGCCCTAAACCCTACACCTCAAGCTTGACTCAAAGAGCACCGAGGAGTCTCACGAGTCAGCTTCCAGTAGTCTAGCTGAGGCTTCAAGCACTTGGGAGTTTCCGAAATTAAGGGGTACCTTATTTTGGGGGCCTTGCAATAAGGATTCTACTGTTTAGGGGGCTATATTAGGGTCCCCTACTTTTCGGAAGCCCCCACTTGATGATGACGACTTCAAAAAGAAGATGAAAAATGCGTTGTCGTGCAAGTGCAATCTCACCTTGGGCTTCTTGACAAAAGACATTTTCAGTGGAACGCGAGTTCTCCCGACGACAGGGAGCATAGTGCGGTTGGCCGAGCACTTCTTCCGTGATGAATGCGCCGACGAATGGTCATTGCCACGGTTTTGGCCGGCACCGATACCACCTCCTAGGCTGAACAAGTGTACTTGGAGGCCCAGGGGACTTAGTAATTAGGTTATAAGTAGAGTTATAAGTACCCTAAATGGAGTTACCCCAATTATAACCCTACTTGTAACCGACTTACTAAGTCCCCTGGGCCTCCAAGTAGTGCGGTGCCAGAGAGCGTTTTCGAACGTCAGTTCTACCGGGTGCAGGTCACTGCGACCTCGGTCTCGACACCGCCCGTGAGATACAGGGGCCTTAACAATCACCCATACCAGTCGAATTTTAGTATAAGGGACCGGGTTTACCTAGACCCTAAAGAACCTACTTTTTTTAAAGGACATATACAAGGAAATCATCATAAGGAACCCTTAAAAGGTAGGTTCTTTGGGGTACAGGTAGGGTTTTATGTTTAGGGAGGTATCGTACTGGGAGGTTCGTGGGTAGTTCTAAGTGGGGTTGTAAGTTCCCTAGTATGAATATTACAGCTACCCTAGTTATAACCCCAACTTATAACTTCTAACTACCCATGACCCTCCAAGTAGCCAGGAATGCAGTAGCTGTTTTGACGAGCGTCATGTCGCAGAACACAAAATTTCCAGAGGATGCAAGCGAGGGTTTAGGGTTTAGGGTTTAGGGTTTGGGGTACCCTAAACCCTAAACCCTATCGTCGGCCCAGGGACTCTTAGGACGCAGGTGTGAGTCCTAGGGAGGAGAAATGAGGCGGGGAAGTTGGAGCGTTGGTATAATCCCCTAAACCCTCAACCCTAAACCCCAAAACCCCCTAAACCCCCTAAACCCCCTAAAACCCCCTAAACCCTAAACCCCAAACCCCTAAACCCCTAAACCACCAAACTCTAAACCCAAAAATCCCAGTTCAGGCCGCTTCGCATCAAGACCGGAGTCTTCGAAACTTAAAGCTTTCGGGTTCAAAGGTAAGGTTTAGGGTTTAGGGTTCAGGGCTTAGGGTTTAGGGTCAAAGGGTTCAGGGTTTAGGGTTAAGACGGTGAAGAGGTTATTTCAGGGCTTAGGGTTTAGGGCTAAGGGGTTAAGGGTTTAGGGTTAAGACGGTGAAGAGATTAGCTCCATAGCATATCAGACACCACAAAAAAAGGCAGACGAAGTGACGCTCAACCCGGTCAGGAAGATGACCCTGAGCCTCCCATCAACTCCTGAAACGAAGCTACATCGTGGTTTAGGGTTTTGGGTTCATGGTTTAGGGTTTTGGGTTCATGGTTTAGGGTTTTGGGTTCATGGTTTAGGGTTTTGGGACCCTGTATCCTTTGCAAGCGTTTTCAAATGCTCTTCAATGTAGTTCTGTGAGCTGGTCACCTTCTTTATGGCAAGCCTCTAACCTGGGTCCTAAACATATGGTTATCTGCATTGGAGAGTGTATCTAGCTTTAGTGGCCTGTTATAGGCTAGATGGGAGAGCCTCGCTGACAGTGATAGAAAGGTCTGAACATTTTGTAATGGTGTCACCATATAGTCGCAGTCCCTGTATGGCTATGCTGTACAGTAGCCCCAAGCCGTATTCCAAAGCAGTATGCCCCCTATATTAAAGCTATAGTTACACGAACACCTGGAGCGCTTTACTCCAATTGATCACAGTCCTAGCAGTCTCTGTGTAGCGATGCCTACACCCGAAACCCTAAACCCTGAACCTACCAGGACTCCCCAAGTACCCTTTACTAGCGCCCTTGTGGTCGTCGTTGTGTGCTTTTTAGGGGTATGATATAGGGTAGTTAAACCCTAAACCCTAAACCCTAAACCCCTAAACTCCTAAACTCCTAAACCCCTAAACCCCAAACCCCTAAACCCTAAGTCCTTTTGAAGTCTCGGAGGTTGGCGACAGCCGGGACGCGTCGAATCACCGTAGCTGCGGGACTCTTCGTCCCACGCTGGATGGCATCGCAGCTAGGGCCTCGGAAAACCCACGTGGAGGATAGGGTTTAGGGTATACGGTTTAGGGTTTAGGGTTTAGGGTTTAGGGTTTAGGGTTTAGCGTTTAGGGTTTAGGGTTTAGGGTTTAGGGATACTACAAGGATTCTATAAGGGGGTTATGGTTTAAGGTGCATCGTTTCTGGCGAGTTCAACCTTTTGCGGGCTTCTGTATGCTTTGATAGGTGGTTCATGTTTTCGGATAAGCTGCACCTGGGTTTTTAAATAATAGTACGACCATTATTACTATTATTTTTCACTACAGTTGTAATATTGTAATTATGGTTGTTTATCTACTACAATCACTATCACCATTCCTACTACTATTACTATTGCTTTTGCTTTTGGAATTACTATTAGTAGTATGATTATCATATTTGTTGTTGTTATCATTACTGTTATCAGTATTATTATTAGTAGTAGTGGGTATATTCTAAACCTTAAGCCCGAAACCCTAAACCCTCAACCCCTGAACCCTAAACCCTGAGCCCTAAACCCTAGACAGTGAACCCTAAACTGTAAACCCTAAACCCTGAACCTTAAACCCTGAACCCTAAACCCTAAACCCTACAAGCCCTATAAACCCTAAACCCTGCCTAGACAGTGAACCCTCAACTGTGAACCCTAAACCCTAAGCCGATTCTTGGTTCGTCTGTGTTCAGATTTGTTGGCGGCTCTTCCGGGGTTAGCTCGACTTAGGTTTCAGGTGCCTGAAGCTACCATGAAACAAGGGCTCCCTTAAAGGGCTCCGTTAAGGGATCTATAGGGGTTTAGGGTTTGGGTTCGTCTTTGTAAAGTTTATCGAAAGCATCGGGCTTTACATAAAGACTCTAACCGAAAACATGGCCATGGTAGTTTAAGCCAAAGTCTATGGTAGGTTTAGGTAAGCCCAAATCCAAGCCGCAGTGAGGCCTTTTGCATCCACTCAATCCGTTGTTTTCAATCCTCATTGAACACGTAGTGCCCGAAACCCTAAACCCTAAACATCCCTAAACCCTAAACTTTAAACCGAATTTAAACCCAAAGCCCTTCAGGCCTGTTGGAAGGTGAACCTTCAACCTTTTGCAGGGGCCTGGTGGGCCCTTTAGGGTTTCGGCCGTTGAGTTTGCGGTTATTTTACGAGTTTAGGTGTTTTAAGGGTGCTTTGGCTTTCAACTTTCGGTTTAGGGTTCCGAGGTTTAGGTATTTGAGGGCTTATAGTAAACCCGCAAAGGTTGGAAGCCGGATTTACGACAAGTAGTGCTGGGATTCCCTATACATTACTCCTAAGGATTGAGGCTATTGGGTTTCCAACTGTTGGGCTTCTACTGTCTTTATGGCCTTAGGGCCTTTGGTTTGTTATTCCATTGAAAACCATATAAAAGACACTCCATGTGTTGGGCTATATCTTCGTCTGTGTGTACTTCCAATAATCTCATGAAGCCTTAGGCACCTAGACCCCTGAAGTCCAATAAGCTCATCAACCTGTATGGACTTGAACGGAGCTTTGAGAAGACCCTATATGTCTCCGGGTTCGTGGTTTTCGGCCCCCCATCGCCCTCCACTATCGCCCACGTACCAGACTTGACGTCCCCTCCCACCCCTTAAAAACCCTAAGCCCTAAACCCAAAGCCCTAAACGGCGGAGCCGTGTCCTTCCATGGGGAGGTAGGGGGTTACTCAATCCATCACCGGTTCTTTCGCTTTGTTCAGCTTGCTTGAGGGACCCGCTGTGTCGCTCCACAGGGGAGCAGGCGGGGTATGCCATAGACTCGGAACGAATTCGTACCCGAGAAAGCGCCTTGAATAAGAAATCCAAACGGGAGCTGCTGCGGTTTTCGAAGTCGTTCATCCGGTATGTGTTGCCAGTGCCTGGAAGCTGCACTCTTAGGCTATTTGGGGCCATGCGAGGGGTAGGGGGGGAAGGGGATTCGCTAACCCTGGTACACATAAACCCTGATCAAGGCCGTCCGCTGCCCCGCTGGCGTGGAAGGCTCACGGCTTCCAGAAAGTGTACCCGAACGATTAGTTCGAGTAGAGTTCTGGGACCCAAACTCCATTATCTGGGTACTTGGACACTTTCCAGGACGGGTTTCTCTGGAGGGTTTGGGGTGTTGGGGTTTGCAGGTTCACTGCCCTTAATCCCCTGCAGATCCTATGAGCCTATGACTACCCGGGAAAGCTTGAGGTCATCATGGAGTTTTACCAACCTTGTGATCTCCCTCGATACCCACGATAAGGTTCGTATTTGGGCTTAGGGTCTAGGGCTTACAGTTTATACAAGGCTGAAGGAACAGTAGCCCCTAAATGGGCCCCTAAACCTAAACCCTAAACCCTAAACCCTAAACCCTAAACCCTAAACCCTAAACCCTAAACCCTAAACCGCAAACCCCTAAATGGGCTGCTCTAACCCCAACATGCCTAAGCTCAAAAAGCCTAAACTCCCGAACCCTGGAACCTCATCGAGCCATGCAGGCTTTTAGGGTTTAGGGTTTATGGGTTTAGGGTTTAGGGTTTAGGGTTTATGGGTTTTTGGGCCGGCCTGTTATTATGAAAGAACCATCACGAATCACGAGAGTTACAACTCAGCTTATCGGCTGAAGAGGCCGCTTCCTCACGCTGACTGGCCCGACTGCGGCAACGCCACAGGCCTCTGAGGGACCTCCTGTACTTAGGGTTGAAGGGTTTAGGGGTTGAGGGGTAGGGGGTTCAGGGTTTAGGGCTTGGGGTTACCAAAGCCTACCAAAAGTAAGTAAATTGGCTCGGCACCCGTACAGGGCAATTATTCTACGGACTTTCCGGGTCCAGGTAGGGTGTTGTAAGGGTTCGCTTCATAGGCTTGAAAGGGTTTGCTTGCAACGGTTTGTCCAATGTGTCTTAGTGTTCTATCTTGTATCTTCTGTTAACCCCTAAACCCTAAACCCTAATGGTGAGGGTCTGTTTCTATACTTTCCACAATGGCGTCTAAGGACGCTTCAAAAGGATCAGTGGAGGGTCTCAGGACAAAAAGGTGTTAATGTTTAGGGTTTCTTTCTTTCTTTCGGATGTTGCTAGGGTTTAGGGTTTACTTTAAGAACCCAAAACCTACCTTTTTGTAGGGTCCCTATAAATCCCATACTAGGGTTTATAATAAGAACCTACAAAAAAGTGGGGTTTTGGGTTCCTAAGGTAGGGCTTAGGGCTTAGGGTCGATTAATTTCTACTCGTATTAGGTTCTGGGATTGCGTAGGTGGTAATGGCCCAGGCTGTATGGTTGAGTGTCATATAAGGTTTGCGTTCGAGGTTTTGGGGCTTAGGGGGGAGGGTTTGGGCTTTTAGCGGGTGAGTTTAGTCTTGTAGCTCCAGCCGGTATCCCCAGACCCTACAAACTACTGGGTCCTGACCCCTTAACTATACGGCTGTATGATGCCCAAGAAGGTTTCGGGTTTACCCAAAGCGGCTCATCTTCGGCGCGTAGAGGCATGCATGGTCGAAGAGTTTAGGCTTGGATTCCCCTAAACCCTAAACCCTAAACCTTGTTTCTGGCTAACCAGCTGTGCCCGCATGGAATCTGCTCAACCCAACACCTGACGCAACATGTTGCGAGCCCTGCGCTCAAAAGAGAGGTGGATCTTTAAGCCCTGTGATTCCCTGAAGCTCAACGACCTTATAGACCCTAAGCCAAGAAGACTAGACCCTGAACCTTAAGCCCTCCACCCTGACCCCCAAAACAACCCTAAACCCTCATCCCTAAACCGTGAACCCTGAACCCGAACCCTGAATCCGAACCCTTAAACTCCGCCTTAAGTCCCTGATTTTAGATCCCAAGTTGGGCTCCCTAAACCAACGCAAATCGAACGCAGGGGTTTTGGGCTTAGGGCTTAGGGGTTTAGGGACGGTTTAGGATAATCCTCGGTCCTAGGACAAGTAGAAGTATCATTGACCACGCTGCCTGGTACTTCTTAGTACCCAGACCTTGCAATATCCCTGCGTTAACGAATATACCCTCAATCATATTAGGGGTCCTACTATAACTTAAGGTCTTTGTATCACGAGGGTTTAGACTGCTAGAAACACCTTCATTTCCCTGCTTTTGCACCATCATTAACTTCGGGAGGTGATGAGTATAGATAGAAACCCTAAACCCCAAACCCTAATAGGTGCGAGGTTTCGAGCAAAAGGCCGAAACTTATGTGTGTCACGATGCAGCCACATTTTGAAGCAGACCTGCATGAAGTTCAAGTAGCTGCGTCAGTCTTCAAGCTGACCGACACTTGGACATCAAGCCCTGATAGCTTGAGAAATGTCAAGACGAATGTGCGCTAATCCTTCTAACTCCCCAAAAGTCGTGAACAAATCCGACGAAACCCATATTGTTCTACCATACTATCCCTGCCAAACCCATGGAACCTGTTCAAAGCCTCACAAAGCCTACACCCCTGCATTTGTTTAACACCCTTTTAAAGCCCCATATTTTTAAGCTCTGTGTCAGCCATGGAGCTCTGGCTGCGTTTTCTCGCTGTCCTCACTCTGGCGCGGGCGGACGACTTCGGCCCTTCCGACCGAACCAGCAGCGGCAGCAGGAGTAGCAGGAGTAGTAGTAGTAGTAGAAGAAGAAGTAGTAGTAGTAGTAGTAGTAGTAGTAGTAGAAGCAGTAGCAGTAGCAGTAGCAGTAGCAGTAGTAGTAGTAGTAGTAGTAGTAGCAGCCGTAGTAGTAGTAGTA